TTTTTTTAACTCGAAGGAACATAGCGTAAAGAAATTTAATTCGTGTACAAAGTCTGCCAGATTTACCAGACATAAGGGATAATTTTATATTTACGTAACAAGATTATAAATGTAAAAATCCAAGAAGATTTGATTGTTTGTTTGAAAGATTACGTAATGCTATAGTACGGTAAAATTTATTTTCAGATACTATTATATAACAATATATGTCCATGAGTAACAGTGTAAGAATTTAATTGGTTTCAATTTATTTTATTATGAAGAATTTTATCGTACCTTCTTAATTCTTAATTCTTAAAAAAAAGTTTTATTCTCTATTTTCAGCACATTTTTCTACGTTACATTGTAAAAACTTTCCCGGCATACTGAATATGATTTAACCTTCGCACAATGGGTTTTTCAAGTTAAATTTTCGTTCTTTCTCGTTGTTTTTCTGAAATATTTTCTTAACGATAAGGACTCATCCAAAGTAATTTGTTACGTGCATCGAATCAAAGTGACGTGGCAATTATTTTCAGATTAAAAAAAGGGACTGCGAAATTCCTCACATCCGCGTCAAAGCTCACCGCTGTTCCGATTAAAAGAAACGACAATGGAAATGAGTGCTGCCGGAAAATGCGAGGACCGAGTAAGATGAAACGGGAAAAAACCAGCAAACAAAGGCGCGAATACAAACGTAACGTCTTCCCTGTAATTGTTTGACAAATAAAACCAAGCTTCATGGCGCGGTTCTACACTTGCACGCTTCCGACTTTTATGACATTACCGCGTATTCTATATGATCGTTTTAAACAGCCGCCTTTAATGTTGTTACGTGGTACAAATTACTTTGCAGCTGCGTAATATTCTCTCTGGACGTTCTTATTTCAGTTTGAAACACGCCAAATTCACGTCTCGAGTCTCTCCATTTTTTTCTTTTTCGATCAATCTGTCGCGCGAGAACCGCGAATTCAACGATGTACAACTCGTACGAGAGTAATTTTTGTTTCGTAGAATCACATGTTTAGTCATTCTTTTGTTAGATGTTCGTTCATTTGTTACGACTGTGAAACTAGTTTAGTAGTTGTTTTCGTTATCGTGTTAAAAAAAAAATGCTGCTGTAAGAACTCCGTTATTTTGGTAAATTTTATAACCAAATTCCGAGAACCGTGAATTTAACAGTGTACAACTCGTACGAGAGTGATTCAACAATAGTCCGTAATTTTTGTTAATTGCGTTTCATAGAATTGAACGTTCATTCGCCACTTGTTACGACTATGCAGCTAGTTATTTTCGTTAAAAAATGCTGCTGTAAGAACTCCGTTGTTGCTCCAGCATATCTTATAATCAAACCGCGACTTGTTGAATAACGACCACTCTTGTGACGATTCGCGCGCGAGTGTGTCGATCGTTTCTCCGTGCGAATAATTCTCACCGTGTTTCACATTCACAGAATGAAAATGACAGACGGATACGTGTGATCCAACGAGCTTCCCGACGATGTGTTTCGAAGGTTTTGTTTGTTCGAGTAACTGTTGCCGACTCTGCGGTGACACGTTTACCTTGGGGTTGAGGTCGCTGCCCTGTTGCATAAGCGTGCCGACCGTAAACCAGAAGCTGTTGGCCATGGTAAACTCGTTGACCGTTCTCGGTAGAGGAATGTCGTCGCTGTCAGGATCCAACGCGCTCACGTGACCACCCTGATGACATCGGGACCCCCGCCAAGTGGTGCGAAATTTCAAGGACAATTACACACAGGCTATGCCTAACCAGCTAATGTTCAACCGAGCAATCGAACGGTCGTGGATATCGATACACGCGATGTTTGTCAATGGTGTTGCTTGTGAAAATGTTCGAACGCTTCTGAGAGATATGTAACATATCATATGTACGTGTTAATACGCAAATGAATATTATTTATTACGTGAAATAAATGTTAATTATAAATCGAAGTTGTACGGTATTATGAGGTTCGAATGATGTATAATTTATTCAATGAAATGTATATGCTTCCAACAGATATTGTACATAGACATTTTCAGACTGGTTTCGAATTTCGCAAATATAATATAATAATATGTTTTTCGTTATGATGCATTTAGACTAAACAGGTGTACTGCGACAAAATTCATGCTCATATTATGTTGTATCGTTTATTACATTCAGCAAAAAGGAATAAATTTGGTTGAAAGTGAGAAGTCAAAAAGAAACTGTTGCCTTGAACACAATAAAATTTCATAGATAGAAATTCTTCAAACAAACGAGTTCAAAAGATTCAAACTTATTTCTACAAATATCACAACGATATTGCACAATTAATTGCCGACGTGCTGCAACAACATTGACAACTTGAACGATTTTTCGTATCTCCAACGACGCGTCATACATCGAGATACGAATCTATGACGACATAATTCTTCGCGAAGGCTTCGTGCATCCGTTCCAAGGATTCGGTTGCACGGTCGATTAGCACCACCCGACGAGAGCCTACCTGTAGCGGGCATTTGCAGCTCGGGCAGGGTGTCGGTTCGACCCATTCGTAAGGCGAGAATCTCGCCACTATCCAAATCGTTAGGGAGACCATCACGTAAGCGCCCAGCATGGATAACCAAATCTCCACGGCGAGGGGATTCATGAACGAGAACAGCCTCGACGGCATTCGCCCGGAAACCTGCAGCAATTACACGTATCTCCGGATTACTAATCCTGCGGAACCTTATACCCCGGAACCTCTATCACTCTCTTTCTCTCTGCCCAATTCTCGTTCGGCAAATCCCGATGTATCTGCTCGTCCCGGCCGATTTTCCCCTTGGTTTCCTCTCTTGGTCATCGAAACCTCTTTACCTCTTTTCCGCGCCGTTTGTCCGCTATTTTCTTCCTCTCTTTGCCCCTTTCCTTTTCTTTTTCCTCTTTTCTTTTGTCACGCGAACCGACTCTTTATTTCGAGGATAACAGTTTCAGCTATGCTCCTCTGTCAGTCCGGTGAATGGCGGCGCAAGACGATCCTTTATCTCGCCGGGGAATCACGAATTCCGTTTTCTATTCTCTGGCCCGTCAGGAGCCAACCGGGATACAATGGCGGTGGTCTCAACACGGCGGCAGAAATTTAACCGGTAGACGAGTTCCTTTATCCTTCTCGTTCCCCTTCTTTCTTCCCTCCCTCCCTCCCCCATCCCCCGCAGCGCTCGTGCGCGCCCAGCCGTTTCGTCGGACGCGAAACTGGAACGCGAATCATCGTGATTTGGGTTACGATCCGAGCGAATCTGCCGGCGTCGAGTCCTCCCCCGATGCATTCGAAACCGACGACAATCGGCGCTTTCAGCCGTGACAGCTTCTGATTTTTCTTGCTCGCTCGATCGCGTCACGGGAGGATTTCAGACGGAAATCCGGTGGCTGGAGGATGAAAGTAATTCCGTAACTGCTCTCGGAGATTTGTTTGTGGATTCTGCGAGACGTTTATGAGTAAATTCGTCGATTTTCTGCGGAAGAAAGATTTCGTAGAAAACGTTCCAGTATTTTTTTTTTCTCCGGGTAAAATTTGCAGAGAATATTCTATAGTATATATAATAAGAAAGAAACGTTGTGTAAAACGTTGGTCTTTGAGTCTTCATAATGAATTAAATTATTATCATCTTAATTATATTTGTATTTTCTTTTTATATTTCATGAAATACGAAGTTATGTCTATTGTGTTGAAAAATAACAATGGATTCATTAGCTTCGCGAAGAAAGATCGAGTTGATTATTCGCTGCAGTTTCAACGAATCAATCGGTTCTCAACGTAATAATTTTATTTCCGCTTATTAAGAAAGATAAAGGCTTTCAAAACGAAATTGTTTCTTTTTACATTCGTACGAAATTTAAATGTAGAAAAATCTATGGCACAATACCGAAATAATAATATCTAGATTCTATTTTTTAATTCTATTTGCACAAATATTTCCAGTTCAGTCATTGCGTCTATCATTTTAAATGATCGCAAATAATGAATCGCGTCTTTCTCTCGATCTATATTTTTACACAACGGCTCGGACAATCATCACGGAAGAACTCTTACATTTATATCATTTATATCTTGCGTAGCGACAGACGGTCAAACAGATCATATGGGTAAAATATCAAATCAGTGTGTACTTAGATTAAAAAATACAACGTGAACAGCGCAATTCACTGAATGTCAAAACTTATTGATAAATTTCTTTCAAACTTAGCTGAAGCCTTGATCTTACAAAAATCTTTACAAACAACCTCGGTATACTTTTCTGAGCAACGTCATCATACATCATCAAGCGTTCGTAATTTTCAAATTGTCCAACCGGCAAAAACTGCGACCATTCGTATGCCAGTCGGTTGACCGTTTCTTTCGCCATAAAGTCCGCCTTTAAGAATCCACAAACTTCCTCGGCAGTTATGAACGAAGAAGGGGACAAGGGTCTGCTCTTAGTCGTAGGAGTAATTGAACGGCAGAGAAATAGTCCAGTGGCGGAGCACCTCGTTAAGTGTACCTTGGGGTTGAGCCCGCTGCCCTGCCTGAGGAACGTGCCGGTGATAAACCAGAAGCTGTTGCTGACGCTAAACTGGTTCTCGACGATGTCGCTTTCCCCCAGACACGGGTGCGGATTGTTCCACTCGTACGGGCTGAATCGAGCCATAACGAAGAGGGTGAAGCTCACCAGCATGTACGCGGCCAGCACGTACAGCCAGATCTCCACGGCCAACGGGTTCATGAAGGAGAACAACCGCGTTGGCTGGCTGGAGGGCACCTAAATTACGTTACGCTACGATTTTAATTAAAACGGATCCCGTACGCCGCTCTCCCGCCGTACCGGCGCGGGCCTTTTTCTCACGATTGGTAACGCCGGACGAATCGATATTTCATCGAGAATCCCGCTCTCTCTTCAACGCCGCTCGTCTCAATGTCCTGTAGTTGAAAGTGCAAAATGAACTCGAGAGCACGTGGGATCGTTCCTGACGATCGCACGGAATCGTATGGAATCGTATCATCTTTGAATAAAGTATCGTTTTTTTTTTTGCTAAATCTGTGACAAATGTAGTATGAACCAGATTGATCAATCCTGTAAATTTATAGGGAGAGAAAGAGAGAAATGATGATTCGCAGATGTTTGTGCACTTATGAGAAATTTAACATTGCAACTACGATTAGAGCGATCAAAATGATCAATTTGTAGAAATTTTGTTGTGCATTTTTCGACATTTGAGTTACGACATTTCCTCGTAAAATATATAAGTAAATGCTCATGTTCTTCATTATATTACGAGTTATTTTGTTTCTTATCCATTTCAATTTCTTTGACAAAGGTTTTATATTTTAGTCGATAACTCTATTAAGGTTTCACAAAGGTTTCTCTGCATCTGGGAAAATATATGAAATATTCAAGGCAGTAGACGAAAGGAATTTCTATTTAGATTCCACGTCTTTAATTATATTCGTGAAAATATCATAATTCGCAAAATTGCATAGACATCTGCAGCTTAATAATGACAATTACAAACACTATTTAAACGAACTTGGCGAATATTTGCGAGTAATTCGAGGTAACTCGGGTATTTGTATCTCGAGTTTTAAAGATTTCTGCAACGAAAAGAAATTTCTGCGACGAAAATTTTCATTTTACAAAAGTTTTCAAGTTGTGGAAAAGTTCGATTACAATTGCATTAAATTGCAATTAATTTATAGAAATTGTACGTGAACAATGAAAATTGATCAATCTGGATTCCTGACGGTTCCTCATACGAGAACGAGATTCTCGAAGGTTGATACATGTTGCACACACCGTGAATGTAAATTACAAGTTAGTTTACCATTATCGAGTACAGTGTGAACGACAACAGCGACTTACCTTAAACAGAATTCCGATACCAAGGTTCATGAACGGCTTGGTGAAATCTATTACGCTCTCCCGAGCGTAATTGATCGTCATAGACGCAACAGCCAGGTCCGCTCTCTGTGGGCAAAAGCGAGATTTCTCGCGTGAAAACAGAACGATAGTTCTACATGCATGCCTCGTCGGACACGAGCTGTCCAAGTATTCAAAAAAAGAGAACACGCGGAATTGAAATTCATCGGACAACGTCAGAATTCTCTGTAACTACGAGTTTCGAAAACGAAAATCCTCCTATAAAGATAAAATACTTGGTAGAATGTAAGTTAAAAACCCTTCCCCGAGCTAACGTTCAAAATTCAATAAATCGGTAAGAAAAAAATCGTACAGAAGTTTGAAGGAGTTGTTGTAAAGAGAAAGTTATATTTTTCAAGACTGATGGACGCAATATCGTGGAAAAATTTTTTCCACTTTTTTCCCTTTAGAATTGAATTTTTACAATTTTCAAAACTAGAAATATCGCGCCTGTTGTGTGATGTGAAAACACCTTTGAAAACCAAAAAGCACGATTCTTTTTTACAGAGTCGCAACAGTTTTTCATCATTGTATGCTGAATATAAAATTAAAAAGCTCACCATTGGAATTTAAATTTCGCCACTATTTATGATTCTATTTTAAGATATTGAAAAACTATTCTTAAGGGTATCAATGAACATAATTGTATCACCTTCAACGTGATATTTCTCGACGGAAGAAAGGAAAAGCGAAAGGCTTGTTTATCGTTCGAGGAAAACCGATCGACGAACGCCCGCCTGGCAAGCGTTTGCCCTGCAAAATAGCGAATGCATCTTTTATAAGCGGGCCGAAACCTGGTACGGCCAGGTCACCGCCGATGACGTCTTTCCATCGAGACGATCCACTTATAGCCCCGCCAGTTTCTGGGTTAAGGTCCTTCCTAAAATTCTCTTTTCGCGAACAGATTGCGCTGCATCTTTTATAAATCGGCGAACTATGGAATTCAACGTCCATTCCTGTCGCACTTGTGGTTACTCGCGCGAAACACGACTCAGCCGCGAGCCATCCGGTCAACCTTGACGCCCGGAGGCGCAACATTCATCTTCCCACTCGTGGAAAATTCTCATCCTTTTGCTTCTCACCCTTTACACTCTCGACCTTGTCGAAATGCTCGGCGTTTTCGCCACTTTGAGTCGCGTCTTTTGCCTACTTGTGTCATTCGATCGACGTCTGACCGAATACAAGGTTATACTACTTAGAAGAGCCTTACTACCGATACAATAAGTGAGATGTTTTGAAGCCGCATAAATTCGAAAGTGAGTCATTTGTTTGTTGAAAGTTGAATATTAATCTTATATGTAATTGAGTTGGAAAGTTAATAAAAAGTGAAGAAGCTCCAATATAGATCAGTGTAGAAATATGTCGTACAATTTAGAAAAATTTTCAAATTAACGAGTATTTTTTCCATTTGTCTCAGACAGGAAGAAGATTTGTTGACTTGGTTTCGTTTCGCGTGATACAAGTAAGGTATAAATCCTTACATATATTTTACATATTTATATCGTATCCTGAAATTATATTTGAAGACTGTCAACCCATTTTATGATCATTTGATCATGCTTCTGCGTACATTTCATTCACATAATTTCTGTACTACACCATCCATCTATATTTCATTTCACACTTTGTGCAGAGTCCAATTTTTTCCAAAAAATCTTAAGAACAAAAAGAAAATTCCTAACTTTCGGTCAATAAGATGAACCTGTTAACAATAAAATAAAATATACAGCTGCATTGTGCTTGGTAAATATTCAAATAACAAAGATCCTGCAGCTTAGCTTTTGAAATTGTCTTTGAACTACTTACGTTGAAATACTTTCGCAACAGTCTGATCGGTCGTTCATAGAACGAGATATCAATGTGCACTGCCTCGATCCAACCATTCTGCGTTAAATGTTATCATTAAGAGGATGGAATTAGAGCTAATGGAAATTATAGGGAATTCGCCGGTAGTTTAGCAGAATATATTACGTTGCATTGGTTGGGAAACTAACGGCGACGTAATTAATTCCCTTTAATAATCTTTAATAATCCAGTGTAGTGTCATGTATACGAGCAGCTTCGCCGCAGTTAAGGAGATTAAATTCTGCCGATTTTTGCAACTGGACAGTCTATATCTCTCGGCGAGATCCTCGGTCGAAAGCAGTCGATGAAAGCGATTGCCTAGATTCGCTATACCTCATAAATTATCCGACGGCTGTTGAAGCAATTGGCCACTGTTGGTGAAATTCCAACTTAATAACACGGTTCTTTTACAATTCAGATGTCACCTGATGGCAACATCTGCCATCGGCGGTCGCCATGAATCGGAATATCCGATACGTGGCCACCACCATCGGTTAGAGAAAACGCCAAATTAGATGCTCCTCTCAGGCGCCGAGCATGCATAATGAAAGTCTAGCCAGTCGGGAGGGATTTATTACGACAGCATCGGGTCGCTACTTTGCATATAAAATTATTCGTGGATCCTTCCCTCCGTGTTCGTTACTTTTTTTCTTTTTTATTCCCCTCCTCTTTTTTATTCCCTCGCGAGAATATACAGTTTCATCGAGAGACTCGGTTCGCGTAACAGAATGCCCGCTCCCAAGGAAGTTGCTGATATTTCCCCCGTCTGCGCGATAAACTCCGCGTTAACGTTGAAACTGCATACCAGTTTGTATCGTGTATCTGAATGTTTTGCACCGAGGTGGTTGTAATTAAAATGACACGGCGAAAATAAATAGACGTGTGATATTATGTTTCTGTCCGAGCGGAATGTTGGTATTAATTTTGGTGGAAAATATCTGGTGCGCTTTCGGTAGTTGAGGAAAGTTTTATGGAGAGGGCATTTTAATTGGAGCTTAGTTGGATCCAGTTTGTAATCAGGATATATTTGCATTTTGTATCGGGATTTGTTCGCTGCCTCCCATTACGACGTAATATTTTGCAAAATGTAATTTGAAATATTTGTAATGTTACGATAAATTATTCCTTGATCCTATAAGGAATTTATCTGTCATGCTGGTTTAATTATTTATTTATTATATTTTGTCCGTTGTTTCTCGCGATAAACCAATTACGACAGAATTCAAGGCAGAAGCAACGTTATCTATATCACCGAGATTCTGTAATTTTATGAAATTTCAAGAAATTGAGTTACTTGAAGTGTTGCGACAAATTATTCCTTGATTCTTAATGAATTTGTTTATCACACCACTTTAATTACTTATTAATTATATTTTGTCCGCTGTTTCTCGCGATGAACCAATTGCGACATTAACAAAGTTTCTGTATCACCGAGATTCGATAATTTTATGAAACTTCAAGGAATCGAATTATTATTGTAACATCACGACGAATTAACAGATTGATCCATCGTACTGTTTTAAACATCGTATTTGCCGAGCTTCCTACGTTCAATCGAAACAGTGCCAACACAGAATTGCCAGCAACGAGTAAATAAGAAAAAAAAACAAAACTAGTTGTTCTACAGATATATGCAGAGAGAGCTTCCCACGTTACCTTTTCCATAAGTTCTCTAACAATGCCGTTCCATTCCTTGGTTTTCGGGTCGTAAACACCGTACATGTGATCAGGCACCAGTCGTATGGCGTATTGAAAGCCGACCTGTCCCGCGATCCACTTGAGCAAATCGATGCAGAACCCCTCGAACCTCGCGTTCCCCGTCAGATTCTTGTCTTCCTTCACCATGACGTACGGTTTCTCCTGCAAGAAGATAAGACTCCTTTGACGGATTGCCCGTGCGCGGGACCGAGTGTCGCAAGATAAACAGACGGCCGAAGAAGAGTGGCAGAGAGCGAAGTAGAAAAGGGCGAAACTCGGGGGAGAGGGGAGGGAGAATGCTTTTCTTTTATCTGAGGAGAGAGATTCTTATTCAAAGATAAGAACCGGCATCGGCGGTATGAAACGTGTAGCGTCATTGGACGGTCTCTAACGCGAACGGTTTCGATGGAAGCTTCTAAGTCTGCTTTCCTCCCTTCTTCTCTCCCCCTCCCCCGCTCCTCTCTCCTGTCTCTTTTATCATGAAAAATGGAGACGAAGGCGGAACGCGTCGTATCTTTCGCGACGATTTCGCCCCGACTGCCGGAGCCGAGTGAAATTAGTTTCTTTCGGGGAAGCAGACTTTTCTGGCTGTGATCCGGCGGGAGAGCACGTCCGAAAGCTAAACATCCGACATCGTGATGTCGACGTGTTAGTGAACAGCATGTCCGTTTAAGCATAAAAGTAAAAGAGAATGCGTCTAGGATAATGCAGAGTAGAGTCTTGGGAGTGCAAAAATATTCAAACGCATTTATGAGAAATTTAAGCGATACGAAAAATCTGCAGATGCGCGCAAAAGGATGTTAGAGAATTCGGATTGCGTGTGAATTGTAAAATTCTACGGAATATTTAAAGTAAAGTAGTCGTAATATTTAGTGGCGGGAACAAATTTCTTTCAATTGTATTCGTAAAAGTTTGAACCTACGTGCAGTCGAAGTCTGAAAAATATTCAGACATGAAACAGCTTCGAAGAGCATTCTAATCTCGCTGTTCTCTATCCAGATGAAAAGAGAACGAAATCGAGGATTGAGAAATTATGCATCATTCTTCGCCAGGCTTGGCGTTATCCGTCTCTCGAAAATTCAGAAAGATACCGAAAGGTCTCGACAACGATTTCTGTATCTCGTTCAAACAAAGAATAATTATTCAGATTTAAAAGAAAAAGAAAACAGAGCTCACTAGAAATCATACGGCGTAATGTAGTAAATTATATATATTACGCAAAGGCAGAAGTTCGTTTATAAGAATTACGAAATGTTTCTTCGATGATGTTGCACAGCGAACGTAATTTTTAGAGCAAGCTTCGAGCATCCTGGTGATTACCTCTCTCGTCATAACGACCAAGGTGATATTAGTGGCAGTGTTCTCGTAAAAAGCACCAACGTCCGTCACGTTAACGCCAGTTCCGGGCTTCCACTCGCCCACCTTCACCAGCTCTTCTTTCTTCAACTTCAGCAGATCGAGCTTGAAGTTGTTCCGCTTCCCTTCGTTGAACTCGATATGTCCGGTTAGGCCGTGTAAACCTGCCTGCGAACAGAAATGTTCGTAACCCTAAATTCCACGTTGTAACAACCGTTCCATTTTAGTTTCTCTTCATTTCACTGGATGTTGAGACCTTACGAAAAAGAAAAAAAAAAAAGGGATATAATTACGTAGAAATAGTAGAAGAAACTGTATATCTTAAAAAAGAAGATGTAATCACGTAGAAATTATGGACGAAACAATGATGTGATCGAGAATTATTTAATACTGGGAGATTAATATTATAAAAATTATTAACTATACATCGAGAAATAATTCAAACAAGGATTAAATTCTAACTAGCATTTCTGTAAGTGTATTTGTACGCGCATTTATCGTACGAAGAATAGATGCTTCAAATTGTATATATTTGTGTTAAAAAACTACTAATTCAATGGACATTTTAATTTTAGTTTTATGAAACTTGTTGATACAGAATTACAAAATTAAATCATCTGCGCATGTAACATACATTGAAAGATATGTCGTTCTGAAAAGATGAAATTAACACGTTTACCTAAAAAACAACTATAATATAAATACACTAAATCACTTTCCCCTCGAAATAGCACAAGTTCTCTTCGAAACATCTTTTGATACAATTGACAAGTCTCGAAAATATTTCAACCTCCAGTTTTACAAGAAATTGTACGAGAAAAATTTTATACCAGGAATATTCGTCAAGAGATTTTTCGCCCGCCGGTGAAATTTCGCAACATCATTTTCGCGAAAGTTTCAACGGAGCAGATAAACATTTCCGCAAGAGTGGATAACTGCGCGACTTGTAACGCGCGGCATAATTAATCGTCGGATCGCGACTCGCCCGCTCTAATTCTCCAGCGTAATAATTACTCGATAACGAGACATCGCGTCGTTGTTCGATGTTGCACATTACCGAATTACCAATAATCTTTGTCCGACGTATCTTTTGTTCTCTATTATCATGTACACCAACGATCGTTGTCTGCGACACGCCTACGCCTACGAGAGAAAATCTTTTTCGTTAATTACCACCTGGTAATCGCGGTCTGCTTAATTTACGAGAATCTTTTTTTCTCTCCTTCTCTGCTCGCAGAGTCGCCAGAACCGCCTGAACCAAATTTCAGCCCATTATATCTTTCAGCCAGTGTTTTTATTGGGCGGGCAGCCCGAGTTCCCTGCCAGGAAACTGTGTAACCCAATTTCCTCGTCGTTTCGACGAGCCATCGTTTTCACGATCCCACGATCTCCGCGGAACACAATGGGAGTTACATCGTTTTATTTTTCTTCCTGTCGCTACTCGAATCTGCTGCAGTTTCACGAATTTTTCTTTCTCTCCTTTCGCTGATTGTTATCTTTCACTCTGGACAGCGTGAAATCTTCATTACGAAGAGTTTCGTGGTACGATGCGTTTTATTTGTTGAATCACATTGAAATACCAATCGTAAGAGACTCGCTCTAGTTTCGTGAATTTTAATTTCTTTCCCTTTTTTTTTTTTTATATAGATTGTTCCAAGTATCTTTATTGTCCTTGCAGTCTGCGTAATTATTCAAACTTCGCTGCAACTTCGTGAATTTTTGCAAGTTATTATTTCCTGCTTTTCTTGGTTAGCGTAGAAATCTAGTTAAAAGAATCGACTATCCTAAATCTTCCGAAATATTACGCGCCTTCTGTCCAATTTCTTGAGAACTGAGCAAAAGTGGCTCACTATAATTTCTTGTCTATATCGTAGATTATTATTCTTCCCTTTCCTAAACAGCGTAGAATTATAAATATCAACTAAATGCACACAACAAACTTTTTTGTCAAACCTTTTTGTCAAAATCTTGTCCCGTACAGTATAATTAATTTTAATTGTTCCTTTTATGAATTATTTTCTGATTAGTGTGAGAACTGTCCTAAATTTAACCAAAATCTGCACCACACTTAAACCTAACTCAATCTTCAAATTTCACCAAAATTTAGATTTTACAGATTTCTAATCACTTTTATAATTAATTAATTTTATAGATTTCTTTTCTAATTACGCGAACCGAGAATACCCTAAATCTTTCGCAATATGACGGCTCATGTCATCGTTTTGGAAGGTACACCGACCGGAAGTTACCGGTAGTACAGGCAGCGGATCTACGCGCTGCTACTCATCCGGCAGATTCGTCTGTTAATTGCCTTTGCACCTACACCCACGCATGTGTAAAATCGCAAACCCGTTTTCACGTGCCAGCTGCCCCGAAAACGGGAGCATGCCGATCTTCTGGTTGTTTTATTCGTTTTGTCTCGTCGAATGCATCCAGCGTGTAATAACGACTTGAATAAATAAATCTCGTGCAAAGTGTCATACTTTTCGACGCAAACGTTTCGTAATGAAAATATAGATAGGCTTTATTATATAATGAAATTATGTAATATTATGTAATGAAAATTATATAGGCTTTGTAAAAAAAACGCGAGGGATAATTCGAAGTTACTTTCGGGTTGCAAGAGGAAGATTTGGAAAATTTATACTTCTTATCACAGTGTCTTTTTTTTTTGTTTTCTCGCTTTGCGAATACTATTTGTACGTGATCAATGGACTGCGAACTTTTGTGCAAATTACTCTTTATTTCTATGAGGCCTACGACTCTTTTCTATTACAATGAAACATATTTTATTCGTACGAAGAATAGTTTTATGTTACTTAATTATAATATTGTATTTCATAATTTTCAACAGTATCTCTGGAAACAATATTCAATGCGCGAATTCAGTTTTCGCGGACAAATATTATCGTAAACCGTTGCGGGGCTTTTTGTACATGTTTTTATAATTTTTAGAGATGTGCATATATAATTCATGTTCACTGCTGTTTACGTTTAATTATAGATTTCTGCTTTCTTTTTGCTACTTTAATGTGAAAATTCAACAATGGAATACACGAGAAGTGATAATATGCAAATTTCTATTACTAAAATGTTATCGCTAATTGTTTTAAAATAGAAAGGAAAGGAAATCGAGCTTTACGAAATCACTTATTTCACGAAACAGTAGATTTGACTGCAAAGGATTAAAAATGTAATTTAAAAAATACCTCGATAGGAAGTGGTTCTTAGTCACTGAATTCTATTGCAAAATTTGAATATTTTACATATTTTTACGCATTCCGCGCAATTATGCACTCTTAAATTTTCTACAAATGGACAAAAGTCCGCGTACAAATAATTACGAATAGTGATCGATTACGTCCACGCCGCAAGTATTTATGCAAATTCATATGTCAATTACATTTCATCCCCTGTAAATACTCTAACGAGCACTTTGCTTCGAACGTTTTGTCCACGCACTTTTGATACTCATTCGGCGAATTTCTCACCGTTTATATCACTCGTATATGGATAAACATCCGGCTATTTAGTCACGCCGTTTGTATCTTTAATTCTCTGGCCAGAAATAAATTTCACCAGGGTGAATTACATTTTCATCGCGGCACTCGTAAATTCAGTTGCGAACCTTCTGGATCACTGCGTTATATTCCAGAGTTATCCGTTCTTTTATCCTCGCTTAGGCAACGCTTCACAGAGTAGACAGCAACGAGAACTAGCGTAGACGAACTAGCAAGATCTATATCATCCCTGTGAATCTCGAGCTTTCCGCGAGTTAGGCGAGGCTACGAGTAAACACTTTTTCGTTTGCTCGAGTATTGGCGAGACAACACCCCTATCAAGAATCTTCTGACATTCGTAAAATATTCAACTGTTTTTGTTTTCGTTTTTTTCTTTTTTTTTTTTTTCCTTGGTCGATGAATAAGTACAGACGAGCGAATTTCAATTACATGCGTTCAGTTTTTTCTTACGAATCATACGAAAAATTTCCCACCGAATTTTGCGTTCAGCTTCGTATCTAGTATTGCATCCACTGCAAACTGAAGAATAAGGAGGAAAAACAAGAAATGTCATAAATATGACGAAGAAAATATATAATATTGTATTAGACTCTTCGTAAAATGAAGATCGTATCAGACATTCCAAAAATGAATAATTAATAAACCTGTTCGGTCTCTTTGTAATACGTCTTACAATATTACCTTGCAAAAAAATTCTAAACAATTGCAATCATAATTTAATAATTCTGATAGTTCTATTTGTTGCAAAACGTGTGACATGTTGGAAAATTACGAAGAATGGATATTCCCCTTCGACTGATTGAAACGAATTCGCTGGTGGGAGTTACGTGGCGCGCGAATTGCTCCGCTTAAAAATCAATGCTTTTACTTGGTGGAAATCTACTCGTGAAACCGGTCGTTCGCATCGTGTCTGAGAGCATCTTTTTGAAAAATTTTTCCACCACTAGACCATGACGTCTGACCACCGACGTCCGTGTATACCCGGTCGTCTCCATTTACACTCGGCGAGCAAATATTTGCTCTGTTCTCAAAATCTCCGCGCGGTTCTCTTTTCGACCAGTGTAACAACCTACAGCCAGATCCGATGTTTGAGATAAGTTGCTTTGATTTCTTTTGTTGCTCGACTCTCGACTTAAAAAGCTTCGAATACGTAGGTAGGAGGAAGATTAACTGTGTGTCTGGTGCTAGGATGCTCAGAGTGAGGCCAGATGAATTTGATGTCGACAGATGTGACACTTGGAGCTAGTAACGAAAATTGATGCGATAAATTCGAGAACAACAGGGGATTCGTCTGTCAACGTTTCGAGGAAATTGGTCCCTCTCGGTTTGTCTGTTTTAAATCTTGATCGAACAGTGTCTTAATAACTTTTAATTTTATTATGCAACGGAGTTATTCTCGTATATTTAACGTAGTACAGAGAGACTTTAAGAAAAATCAGGTGAAAATTATGTTCAATACATATCCACATTTGATATTATAAAAAAATCGTGCCAGTCATGGGGTGATTTTTTGATTTCATTCTCGTGAAATTGTTATTTCATTTCGTTAGTGGTTATTTTAACACTGAAACTACCAACGATCGAAGCATAAAATTTCCGCCAGAGACGCCGAGGTGAAAAAATAGAAGAGACCTATGATAATAATAACTTGCACAAACTTCTATTTATGTATTTCACGAAAAATCATTTAAATCTCTAAAAGTGCATTGTTTCATATCTACAAAATTTCTGACGAAAAATTATAAATTGGTCATTTTAATCACTTTGGTAGTCCTAATTGGCATCTGGTAAGAGGGATATATTATTTGCACGAGGCAATCTATGATGATTGCAATGTATTTCTTAAATAAAACCAAGCAGTTTGTTCCTCCACTCAGTGATATCGCACTTCTTAAATATCTTAGAGGCTGACAAATCGATACACCAGCTGAAACGTGGAAATTTATACTTCCGAAAGTCTTTTCGGGCTTTGAGGCTGATACTGACAGCAAAAGCTGCGCTTGACTTAACGTGACCATTGTTTTTTTTCCGGCGTACACGTCGACGATGAAATGTGTAGTTTTTCCCTTCGACACGGCGGAATGCCATTCCAGTTTGTTTATTCAGCAGAGAAAAATGTTTTGCACTTGTTTTCGAGGTATTCCGAATATCTCATATCCCCAGTACGAACGATCATTCGTTTCGCGTAATATTCACGTCCGATTGGAATTTGTTTAACCAATGAAAAAGAATCGTAACGCAGGCTGAATACTGTTTGATCGCGCGTTCACAAAAATAGAACGTAACTGGCTAGATGGAAGCCACTGGATTGTGTTAAAAAAAATCGATGACATCCGAAGCTCTGAAAGGCGTAGAAATGGCGAACGATAGTATGTTTGAACAGCGTTTGAAATATTTTGAAGAACGTTATCGCATTTCCTGGAATCGCTACACGATGTACGAATTTTGTTCCTTTTCTTAGAACTTTTGAAAGATTTGTCGAAGAAAGGAGCAAAAGGATTCGAAGAATTTCAAATGGACTCTATTTGTTTCGACAAAACAGGCAACATATTAAATGAATTCGAGCTCAAGATAAAGTCATTAGCAGGTTGAATTTATAGCAGGAAATCAATGGTAGAGAAAGTTAGAAGAAATTAGAAAAATACAATCAGTGACCATTGAATTTAAGCTACTAGCCATTTTATACGTTTTATGTATGTTGTTGATAACATTGAGAGGGTTGAACGAAATT